CCCCATATAGGCCATGCCAACTCCATCAAGAACGACGAGCACGGGTCCCGGTCGGACATTTCCGATTGGAGCTCTTCAAACCCCGTCACTCGAGTCATCAAGGTAACACTACCGACCCCAGCTATTTCTTTATATAATCATTTATTCATTCATACACGCATTCATTCCATACGCCCGTGCCCCCCGGACGATTCGGGCCCTGAATCGCCTGGGGGCTCGGGAACTAAAGCATCACACGTGCAGCGAAATGCATCACAACGCTCCGTGTTGCGTCATGAAGCGGTAGTTGCCTCATTCAACATGAGCAACGACCGACCGGGGTTCGAAGGCTGACCCACAAAGGGCTTGAGGCTGCCTCACGTCAAACAGAGCAAGGGGAGAAAAATGCAGATGAGCCCCATGCGGCCCTTGCCCGGTCTGCCCTGAAGCACACAGGGTCATCTCAATCTTCTCGTTCGATCCTAAATCTCTCACCAAGCCCACAGAATCTCCATCGAGGGGAGGCTAGTAGGCCACCCGGGTCGGTCTTCAGAATGACCCAGGCATCTACCGGGTTGCAGGTAAAGGAGTAGTGGAATGTCACAAGAGGGCTATGTTGACCGCGTCATGAACGACGGACCCGAATTCCACTCGATCATACCTGTTAGCGAGCTCACCGAGCGCGTCACTCGAGCCCGAGCGATCGAGGCAAGCGACAAAGCTCAGCCCCTTTAGTTGTGAGAAACCGAGGACGGGGTAACGCGCATGACTCAAACTGACCCTACCAAAAGCCCAACAGTGCTTGGGGCTCAAGACACCAAAAAAAACCTGGGTTTGCAACCCCGAACTCGCCCCATCAGGATCCATGACTCTGACTCGCCCGATCCCACAGCGTGCATCAAGGCAAGATCCGCGTGCTCCGTCTCGCCCGATCCCTAAACTAACCGCCTTGATCCCACGGCGTGCACCGACGCCAGGATCCACGACTCGAAGCTCGCCCCATCCCTCGGCTACGCCTCAACTACACACCAAACACCAGGGTCTGTGACCCCGAACTTGCCCCATCCCTCGGCTACGCTTCGACTGCACACCAAACGCCTAGGTCTATGACCCCGAACTCACCCCATCCCTCAGCTACGCTTCGACTGCAAACCAAACGCCTGGGTCTGCGACCCAAACTCGCCCCCTCAGGATTCGTGAGCTCCGGCTCGTCCGATCCCTAAACTAATCGACTAAACTACCTCAGTTGCGTGGGCTGCACCAAGGCCAGGATCCACGACTCCAACTCGCCCGATCCCCCGACGCGCACCGACGTCAGGACCCACGAGCTCCATCTCATTCGATCCCTAAAACTAACTGCCTCACCCGATCCCATGGCACGCACCGATGCCAGGATCCGCGAGCTCCGTCTCACCCGATCCCTAAAACTAACTGCCTCGCTGGATCCCATGGCGCGCACCGATGCCAGGATCCGTGAGCTCCATCTCACCCGATCCCCAAAACTAACCGCCTCGGCTGTGCAACGACGCCTTGGTTGATGACTCTGTCTCAACTAAAGAAACACGCACGCTCACCCACTAACAACACCCCCCAGATGATTCTGCCCGAATCACCCGGGGGCTCGGGGGCTACACCCGCGGGTGCGCTCGCGTGCACCCGCTGACAAAACGAAACTTCCCCCGCTGGCAAACACGAAGAACCCCCTAGGCGATTCTGCCCGAATCGCCCGGGGGCTCGGGGGCTACACCCGTGGGTTCGCTCGCGCGCACCCGCCATCAAGACAAAAATCCCCCAGACGATTCTACCCAAATTGCCCGGGGGCTCCTGTCGGGTTCATAAACCTGAGGTCCCTCGTGGACCGGCTTCCCAAAACAAAGGTTTAGCCCAAGCAGACAATGAACAGCTCCTGGGCCGGCCCAAGTAACTGAACGACAGGCCAGAAGGGCGATCCAATCACCGACCGGAAAGCCTGGCCAAGGAGGAACGACGTCCGTTTCTGACTCTGGCCCGCCTCTCCAATCGGAGCGCTCGCTTTGGTCTCCAGCCCACCTCTGGACGGCCTCTCCGATCGGAAGGCTTGATCAAACACCACTTCCGACTCCGACCCGCGTCTTCGACCGGGGGTGCGCTAGACCCTGCTCACTGCTCTTCTCCGACTAGCACGATCAGAGCCGATTGGGACCAACTGACCGGGGACGCCCGCTCGGTAAGGACCAGGAAACGGACGGAGAAAGTAAGTCAGGGCGCACAAGTCAAACTGCAATACTGGGGATCGTACCCTGTACACCTGCAGAAATAGTACTCTACAACCTCCTTGGCACAGCAAAACCCAAGCAGTATTGTAGGCACCGACATTTTCCCCTACAGTATTGTGGGCGTCATTAACTCCCATACGGTAAGCCTCCCCCCACATGCCTCTGAGCATCGACAGTGTTGTGGGCGCCGACTTTTACCGTACCAAGAGAACATGGTAAAACCTATTGCATGCCTCCAGGTACCAACAGTGTGGCAGGTGCCGACGTCTGCCATACCCGAAGAAGACAACACAAACCTCCCACGTGAATCTGACATTCAACAGTGTTGTAGGCGCCTACCATCATCCTGTACCCATCGGCGTGGGCAACAAGGCTTAGTAGCATACATACTCTCTCCCTCTCACTTATAAAGCTATCCCCTTCATCTATAAAAGAGGATACGCTCTCTCCCAAAAAACTCAGTTGATTCAAGTTGATTCAGATCCATTAGACCGATCAAGTTCACTAGTACACAACCACAGAACTGCTAGGTTCGAACCACAAGCATACGCTTAAACACTTAGCTCATAGAGGGGCTCTCGTCGCTTTCGGTCCCTCTGACCAGAGTCCGACTGGACCTCTTATACCCCCATCTTTCTCCTTCTCATTTGTAACCCCACTGCAAACTTCGAGTGCCTGGGCTCAAGAATAAAGTCACCGACCAACTCAAACTGGACGTAGGGCACGTTGCCTGAACTAGTATAAACCCTATGTCATTGAGTGTTAGGCCACCTCCGATCACAACATACGGCAAAACTACAAATATTTACTTGTTGGTCACTTTCTGCACCGACAGTAGCAATATATCTGTAAAAATGTGCTAGGGGATTTATGAAAGAAGTTGCTACCATGTAAACTAAACTTGCTACTTCAAAAATAAACTAAAGTTCGATGGTTACCATGGGAATATAATAAATTTGTTATATAGTATTTACATAAAGGTACTGACCCTCAAAGAGAGTAACAGACTAAAACAAGACAAGCTGCAACATCGGGGGAACTTATTAAAATAAACATTGCATAAGCTGTCAATTAGAGGGGCAAGTTATTATAAAACACATTACAAAAAGCCACGAAACCTGACTTGCTGCCAACTTGGGGATTTATTAAAAAATAAGGGTAGCGATAATGCGATATAAAATAAGACAAGCGGCAACCTAGGGGCAAATTATTAGAACAAGCATTGCATGAAGTTATTGTAAAACTCACTATATAAGCCGGGAAACATGAGGGTAGTGATAAGAAAACAAGCTGCAACCTGGAGGCAAATTGTTAGAACAAACATTGCATAAACTGCCAACTAGACGGGCAAGTTATTATAAAACCCACTGTATAAGCCAAGAAACATGACTAACTGAAAATTAGAGGGACATTTATTAAAAAAACAAGAGTAGCAACACAAAATTAGATAAGCGGCACCCTAAGAGACAAATTATTAGAAGAAGCATTGTATAAGGTGCCAACTTAGAGAGTAAGTTATTATACAACTAATATGTATGATTTAGGAATACATTTGAATCTAAAAGGGTGAGTGAGACCTGAAACCAAAAAAACATTAAAAATAATACTGAAAACTGAAACAAAAAAATCTGAAAAAAACTTGACTAAAAACTAAAAATGGGAGGAAATTCTTTTGTGGCAATTTATGTGTGCAATGGCTAGGAATTCATTCGAACTGAAATCTGAAACTAAAAAAATTAAAAAAAAAACTTGACTGAAAAATAAAACTAAAAAAACTAAAAAAATTGATTGAAAACTAAAACTAAGATGATATTAAAAAAACATGACCGATAACTGGAACTAAAAAATAAAAAAAAAACTTGACTGAAAACTTAAACTAGGGTAAAATTCTTTTGTGTCAACTTATGTGTGCAATGGCTATCCTTTTGTAACAACTTATACATTGTAGGTGAGGCAACTGATAGCAGGATTTAGAAAGACATTCGTACCTGAAAAGGTGACGGAAAACTGAAACTAAAAAAATTTAAAAACTAAACCGAAAACTAAACTAAAAAAACTGAAAAAATAACTAAAAACTGAAATCGAACTAAAAGGAAAACTCAAAGCACACTACAACACACTTGACCTTCTGCGACAATCAGCTATTGTCGTTGAACACTAAATTTACGTCAAGTTATGGATTTGGTGACGTGAGCGCGATGAATTCCCATTTGTCGCCTATCTGACGTGTTTAAACACCTTTGGTGACGAACACAAGTTTTTTTTGTCGCTAAACTTTCGACAATACTGCTTCGTCACTAAATTTGCGACAATGGCTATTGTCATTGTTTGAGGAAGAATTGTCGCTAACTATTTAGTGCCATGATGCAACATGGCAAGATCAATATAAGCAAATACATAATACACATATCAATATAAGCAAATACATAATATAATGGAGGTCACAAATTGATCATATCATTGAACAGTTAATTAATTAAAGTTCAAACTCACCAACCAAAGTTACAGTAGCAGGTCATACAATACATGTTTCAATGATCATATCCACTGACAACAACAGCAAACCACAATACTAGTTTTGTTCACAGGCCACAATACATCTCACAGACCATATGATGCACTGACCAAAATTATAGCAGCCACAAGTTCCAAAGTTTAAAGGCCGCACAATACTTCTCAGAGGTCGCAAAACAATAAAACCAGCAGCATGGTTCAAAAGTTAGAGCTACTAATACTAGGGGCAAACAACCAGCAACCAAACCAAGTTCAACCATCCCTAGGACCAAGCATTTGACGAAGGAAGGACATGGTTTCTTGTGATGCCTTTTTTATTTTTTCGATCTCCTTCGCCTGTTTTGCCCTTGCCATTTCTGACTCTTTCTTTAAAGTCTCCATTGCTATTTCTGATTCTTTCTTCATGGCTTCGAACTCATGCCTAAGGTCTTCTTTTGATATTTTTTTAATTTCAAGATCAGCTCGAAGCTGTTGCACCTGTGCATAAACACCATAAATATGTCGGTGGCTTTACTATGAAATAAATCATCTATTATTCTCTTAGAAGCAATAGCCACTCAAGGCAGCAAGGCAAAATATTCGTTTACTGGACATTATTATGTGCAAACTGAACAACTAAGTACAAGTAGGTTCAAATTGAGTTTACTGCTTTCATGTGTAGGACAGCTAGGTACAAGTTGATTTAAACTGAATAACTAGGTATTTATTCCTAAGTCAAATGCAAATACCCAACTAAGGGACAACAATTCATGTGCAAGAGTAGGACAGCTAGGTACTAGTAGAATCAAACTAAACAACTAGGTATTTATTCCTAAATCACAACTAGGTATATATCTTGATGAGGCACAAATCTGATCTATGTCTTGATGAAGCACAAATATGTAAAGAAAATAACTTCAGAGCATGCATGGTAGGGACTTGATGCACTTGTACCTTTGAGGAAGTGCAACCTTTAGAGCTATTGTTGGAGTTTGGTTGAATTCCTGCAACTTGAAGAAATGTAGTTGATTTCACAACTTGAGAAACAACATGGTTCACTGACTTTGGTTGCTCTTCATCTTGTACTGGTTCAGCCATGATCGCTTCCATATCAGCCATCTTGTGTGCAGTTTATTTTTTCAGATGTACGTCATGTAGCAAAGAAGGAAACAATCTGCAACATGTACGCAAAACTATGGGAATAGAGAAGAAAAGGGAATCAGTCACTTACAATAACTTTCTTGATAGGCTCACTAAATCCTTTATTCTTGCTGCAGTGGAAATCCTTGAAAAGATTAATAGCAGTAGGTTGTACATCTTTGTATTTCTCTTGTCTCTAAATTATTTGCAAAGAAATACAAACAATTAGGCTGATACAAAAATCAATATATATCCATTACTGATCATTGATTGTTTAGTTTCTTACCATGACATGGGCTTGTGCAATGTAACACCGAGATCCTGTACAATGCAGTAACTATACCTTCTCTCGATTTTGTTGTTTTTTAAGCACCTTTCCTGTACATGAAACATTTGTTTAAGTGTTTCTACACATAGGACAAATACAAAAGTGAAGTTACAGTAAAATAATAAACATAAGTTCAAAGCATGTCAACTATTAGATATGCCCTGCTTCTTAGAGGTTCCAGGAGAAAATCGCTAGAACCTAAGACCACAGAGCTAATGGTCCCTAAAATAGAAGCAGGGGGACAACAGTGACCTCAAACTGAATGCAAAAGCGACCACATGCGGATGTCACAACTACCTGATTAAAAATTTTCCTAGCATAGAAATTAGCTAAATGTTCCGGTTTAGATAAGAAGATTTACAAAAACAGTAATAGATCAAGACATTTGGAGGTTTGTCGCACCTTGTGCTTCGGGTTTGACCACATTTGCACTAAGGCCTGCCGTTCATTGTCAGTTATATTATTCACAGGCGATGTAGTTCTCACTTGAGTTGCAGGTACCCCATCAAAGTACTTTTTTTCAGCTTGTGCCTCATGTGACCTTGTCCACACTTAAGCAAATCAGCACATGCATATTGGACTGCTTCACTCTTGGTGTCAATGGTGAATTGGGCCTAGTAAAGAGCATGAAAATTAGAATCTACGAATGCAAAGGATAGATTGAACTTTCATGAAATCAGCAAAATTGAATTTAACTTACACCAAATTTTCCATTGTAGTTTTCAAGATGTGACTTATTTTTCTTGTACTCCTTCCAGTGTGTAAGGATTGGTATGTGCTGCCTAAGTGTGATCCCACCCTCTGATGCAAGCTTGGCAGCTTGGATAGGCGCCTCTGGCCGTCAATTCCCTTCAGAAACATGGATTGGAAACTTCATGCATAATCCTCTACTTAGCCTATCTAGTTCTCTACTTGCGCTTCTTCCTCTTATCCTATCTGGATCTTTTCTTGCAGCAAGTGCACCTAACAACAATATAATGTGCAAATTTATAACAATAAATTTATGACAATGGCATATACATATTTAGAAGTACGATTGAATTTAGAAGGCAGTAAATTTAGGACAATGGCATATACATATTTAGCATTGCAATGTGCAAATAACGAAAAGTGATTTGTTTGCACAAGGTAGATACAGTCACTTGCCTTCATCTGTAATGTCAACCAAGTCCTGTTGCAGGGAGGGATCACTACTAGAAACCAACACATCATGTGTGGGTGTGGCATTTGGCAGGCCTAAGTTGATCACTTGTTGTGGGTCTGGATTTGAAACCAAGGCTACATCCCTTGTTTTCTGCCTAGTGACTCTGTTAGCCACATCTTGTTCCTGAGGTGCCACCACTCTCTTAGATGCTTTTGTTCCTCTAACAGATGTGTTCCCAGATCTTGTTGGATTCTTTGTATGTGCAGCATTAGCAACCTGCAAAGCCTCATTAGGCAAAAAAAAAACAAGCAGAATTGGCACCAAATTTGCTAAATAGCACACTGACACATAATAAGAAACAATAAAGGACAAACAAACATATGCTTAGAAGACTTGGTACCTTGCTAATAACCTCCTCATCTTCACAGTCCCCACTCTCATGACCTGTATACAACGATCCATAAACTTCATGGTCTTCACCCTTTCTCTCCACAGATGTATTGTTCACTATGGGCACTAATGTCTTGATACCAAGCCTCTCCAACTCTCGGTTGTTTTTCATTATTTCTTCATTCCTTGAACGCTCATATTCAGTAATAGGCGCCTCTGTAAAAATCATTTGAGAATAGTTAGAAGGTTGGAATTTAATGAGATTATATGCCTATGTAAAACCCAAGAGCCTACATAAATGCTGCATGTTTAATTAACTTTTCATATTAGACACTGCAAGTTGTATAGCAAGGATGACTTGCTGCATGCACAAAAAGATGTTCTTACACGAGAAGTTTTGCAAGATTAAACATCCAGCAAATATAAAACCCAAAGGAGAATTTAGTTAACCTAGCTACCTAATCATTCATCTATTTAAAGGCTATTACATATATGCTGCTGCCGGACAGGCTCTAGAATCTTTGTTGCTGCTGCTGGATTAGAGAGATAAGCTAACTGTATGCTGCTGCTGCTGGACAGGCTCTCTAGCATCTTTGTTGGACATCATCTAGAAAGCCAAACTGTAATATATGCTGCTGCTGCTGCTACAAAATTGCAGCAAACTTTGCACAAACTATGCTGCTGCTGCAAACTATAGGTTCATTGTATTGATGGGACATTGTATATTATCAGATTCATTGTATTAATCAGTCTAAGGAGATACTATACATTGTAATAAGTCATAGAAGGTATTAATCAGCTTAAGATTAACTACACAGCTAGAGTAAAAAATGAAACAATAAAAATAGTATCCTCAACAAAAATAGATTGATTTATCTAAGCCAAACTAAAGTCACTGCAGGAACAATGAGACTATCTGTTCAGCATACGAAGCAGTCAGGAACATGAACATGATTCAACACCCTCTTTGTCATTGCAAAAGTGACTGAGCACTGTCTGTCATTCTAGAAATCTTTTCCAGGATATGCCTGTTTGCAGTTCTAAAATATTTGAGATGCCTGTATGCAGTTCTAAAAATATGCTCCCAGTAAAAAACATCTACATAAAATTCCTACAACTTTTGTATTCACCACAAAAATTACTTCGGTCCACTATTTTTAATCCAGGCTACAAAATATTCAGTCAGATCTGAGAGAGTCTACAACACAACTTCGAAATTCCATAACTTCTGAGATATCCAACCTCTGCACTACTGAAATTGTAGATAAAAAGAATGTCTACAGACCTCTAGTACTCTGGTTCACCTAACAAGCGACAAAAGTAGAAGGGAAAAACGAAATTGATCTGCTCAGTTACCTACTAAACATGATCTTTGTCTATTCTTTTGTGGTGCCTAGACCCAAAGTAGAGGCTAAACGTGGGGAACAGAAGGGAAATCGACTTATTAATTCCACATATTCATGAGTTTACCTGTTGATTGCTATCTGCTTGCTCCCACCTTCCGACCAGGAGCCATGGTGCTCTAACCTTCAGTTGGGGGAGGGGGTCGCGGCTTCTGGAGGGGGAACGAGGGGGGTCGTAGCTTCTAACGGATGACGCCTACTGCGTGTGACTCGACGTGAAGAGGGCGGAGTGAGGAGCCGAGGCTCGGGGAGCGACGCCCGGAAGTCACGGTCCGGCGGAGTCGACGTCCTGAGAGCCTAGGAGGCGACCCCTGCTGTGTTGGGTCCGGCAGAGTGAGGAGCAGCGATTTGGAATCAGGGGAAATAGCAAGCGCGAGACGTCGGTGGGAGAAGAAAGAGTGAGCACAGAGGTGGTGGGAGAGAAAAAGATGGCGGCAGGTGAAAATTTTGGGGATAGTTTTCATCCGGAGAAAGAGGGAGCACGCGGCGTTGGCGGGAGAAGAAGCAAGCATGGTGACTTTCATCAAGAGAGAGAGGGAGCGCGCGGTGTCCGCGGGACCGCGGGAGAAGAAGCGAGCGTGGTGGCGGCGGATGAAATTTTGGGGATTCAGCAAGCTAGGGTTCGGTGAGACGGTCGTTGGGCCTAACGGGCTAGTTTTTTAGAATAGAAAAAATTGAGGATGGAAAAGAAAAAATGTTTTAGAAATTAGAAAATTTTGAGAATAAAAAAGAAAAAAAATTGAAATGGAACCTCTAAATTGTGGCCTCGAATGTAGTTCTCCCAACCACACCACGCCAAAGTCATTTGAGATTGAGTAAATGATACTTTCCTTTAGTATTGATTTTTCTAGACATCGTTTATCTCATCGAGATATAGAACATTTGGTTTTGGTCATCTATCCATCTAAGGTAGTTTGGACAATTAAAAAATTTGTAATTCAAAATATTATACATGGAGTTGAGCTTATCATGTTAAAATTCAAATCATAAATTGTAATTCAATATATTATACGTGGAGTTGAGATTATCATGTTAAAACTCAAATCATAAATTGTGACGATTCTCCGGTAGCATGCCATGACAAATTGCAACTCGTCGTAATATGGAAATTCTTCTGTTTACAACGACTTCTTCTAGATCTTAGTGACAGACGCATAATTTTTGTCGCAAAGTCATACACCCACCAAATAACGTCGTAAAATACAATGACTTAGCGACAAATTTAGACGTCGTCATGAGGAAATCGTCGTAGAAGGTCATATCTCTTGTAGTGGCAAAATGATGAAACTGAACCACTAATAAAACTGAAAAAAGAAGAAATCACCAAAACACTGAAATACCTACCAATAATGGGAGGTGAAGCACTGAAATAGCTACCTAATAATGAAACTGAAAAAGTAGAAGGGGCACTGATGCACTATAGGATTCCTAGGTTAACAGTGCAACTCGCAAAATAACAATACTCAAGATGGTTCAAGGGAAAAACTAGTAGCTATAAATGATCCTGATTCACAGCAACATTCATGGAGTAATGTGACAATCCGGAAAAATGATGCACAGAATGATTCTTGGAACAATGTAGCAGAAGAAGGCCCCGAGTTCTGCCGCACAAAACTCCTAGGGTGATCTGGCTCCAACACGAGTGGGCAATTTCTGATGCTAAAGCAATCAGATTCTTGGGATAGCTGGAATGCTGTGCATGCTGACAACTCAC